GGCTTGGGATTGACATATGTACACTACTATGTATAAAATAGATAATAATAAGAACCTACTGTATAGCACAGGGGACTCAATGCTCTGTGGTGACCTAAACGGGAAGGAAATCCAAAAAAGAGGATATATGTATACATATGGCTGATTCACTTTGCTGTACAGCAGAAACTAACACAACATTGTAAAGCAACTATGCTCCAATAAATATTAAAAAAAAGACTGGTGAAGCCCTAAACTAAGGCAGTGGCACGGAGGAGAGAGTGCTAGGATGCTGTCCTTAATTAAGTGTGTGTTGGGGGCATTTCCTCCCACAGCTGGGAAGTCCTGCCCTTCCTCATGTCATTAACCTCCCAATTTAAGGGTTCTTTTCAAATTCTTCTTCCATGAAACTGCAACCACAGTGGAATTTTCCTTCTTCTAAACTAATAGTTCTCCAAATTTACCGTGCACCTAAATCACCTGAAGGGCTTACTACACACATTGCTGGGCCTCATCTTTTTTTTTTCTTTTTTTTGCGGTACGCGGGCCTCTCACTGCTGTGGCCTCTCCCGTTGCGGAGCACAGGCTCCGGACGCGCAGGCTCAGCAGCCATGGCTCACGGGCCCAGCCGCTCCGCGGCATGTGGGATCTTCCCGGACCGGGGCACGAACCCGTGTCCCCTGCATCGGCAGGCGGACTCTCAACCACTGCGCCACCAGGGAAGCCCTGGGCCTCATCTTTAATGGTGGGGCTTGAGAATATCCTGATAGTTCCCTGGTGATGCTGATACTGCTGGTCTCACCAGTGCTCGAACTCGATGACTCTTACGAAGGCGGGGCCTGTGCTCATCTCCTCCCCTGCTTCACAGTGTGTGGCGCATGGCCATTGGCTTCATAACTATTTGGTGAATGAATGAATTACAGAATGAATTAATAAACACATACCCTTATGCCTATACCACTTTGTGCATTTCTTACCAAATGATTTTTTCACAGTAACTCTGTTTCATCAACTGAAGGGCTATCTGTATGTAAGGTATTATTATTCATTTTGTCCTTCCTACTAGATTAAAAGTTTCTTATGTCATCCATCTCAGACTGCTTTGCATACAGCATGTGCTCAATAAATAATAGTTGCTTAATTACTTAATACAGTTACACAGTAGTGAGCTACCACATCAGTTCCTGAGAGGCTTCAACCCTTCTCCTTGCCAATAACCTTTTACTGAGGTCAACATTTTCTTTTCTTTTTTTTTTAAATATATTTATTTATTTTTGGCTGAGTTGGGCCTTTGTTGCTGCGCGCAGTCTTTCTCTAGTTGCGGCGAGCAGGGGCTACTCTTCTTTGAGGTGTGCAGGCTTCTCATTGCGGTGGCTTCTCTTGTTGCAGAGCACGGGCTCTAGGCATGCTGGCTTCAGTAGTTGTGGCTCACGGGCTCAGCAGTTGTGGCTTGGCGGGCTCTAGAGCGCAGGCTCAGTTGTCGTGGCACACGGGCTTAGTTGCTCCGCGGCATGTGGGATCTTCCCGGCCCAGGGCTTGAACCCATGTGCCCTGCGTTGACAGGCAGAGTCTTAACCACTGAGCCACGAGGGAAGTCCCAACATTTTCTTTTTTATGACAAAACCTATCCTGGGGAAGTTTCAGTGAGTTATATCTTTATTTCATTTTAAGGATAGTGCCACCATATGTCAACTCTAAAGATGATGTTCTTAACAAAGCTGGAATCCTAAAAAGAAATTCATTATCTTGAAGCAAAAAAAAAAAAAAAAAATCAAGTGAATGAACAGGAAGTTCAAAGCTAATTTAATACTAGAACATCCTTTTATGTGTTTGGAGCAATGGTGGGTATAAAGAGATTGACTAGCTTAAAGCCTTTAACTTTTCTAAAGGAAACTGAAGAATCAAAATATTTTCAACTTGACTTAAGTGGAAGAAGCAGGCAGGAAAAAGAATGAGCCAAGTCCCTTGTTATAATAAATTCCCTTAATAGCTTCATAGATGGTGGTATCCAAGAGAGAGAGTAGTTACTCAAAGTAAAGAGTAATTGGGGGGCTTCCCTGGTGGTGCAGTGCTTAAGAATCCACCTGCCGATGCAGGGCACACGGGTTTGAGCCCTGGTCAGGGAAGATCCCACATGCCACGGAGCAACTAAGCCCGTGAGCCACAACTACTGAGCCTGCGCTCTAGAGCCCGCGAGCCACGACTACTGAGCCCGTGCGCCACAGCTACTGAAGCCCGCGCACCTAGAGCCCGTGCTCTGGAACAAGAGAAGCCACTGCAATGAGAAGCCCGTGCACCGCAACGAAGAGTAGCCCCCTCTTGCTGCAACTAAAAAGAAAGCCCGCGCGCAGCAATGAAGATCCAACGCAGCCAAAAGAAATAAATTAAAAAAAAAAAAAAGTAATTGGGAAGGATTTAAATTTCAGGTGAATTAAAATAAACAATAATTTAGTGAATTACCATTGAAATGAGGATTTCTATGATTTTATGGACTGTACGTTATTTTAACAGCATTAATTTTATGGCATTGGTTTTCACACTGTGTTTGCATGTCCCTCACAAAAGTACCTTAAAGCCATTATCTACTCAAGGGGAAAGCTAAGTTGATAACATTCTATTCTTCCCCCACCACACAAGCATTCCTGCTTCAGTTCTAGAGCGCCTCCACTTTGGTGTTTTGTATATACTAGGTTTCCTCCTAAGGGTTTATTTGGAAAAAAAAGAAAAACAAGTGGTCTGTAGCCTTAAAAAAAGTCATAAATACTAGATAGTATATGATAACCTTATACAATTATTATAAGAATAAATGAGTGTGCTGATGGAAAGAAGAAACTCAGGGGAATACTGTTAGTGATAGAGACAGCTAGTTACATCCCAGGCCTCCCACCTCCCATCCCACAATTCCCAGAGTTGTGGGTGGTGCCTGTCCAGCTAAGGACTACATTTCCCAGGCTCCCTCCCTTTTCATCTAGATGGGGCTTCATTTTCACTAATGATACAGTAGAGAAAACGCTTTTGTCATTCCTGGGCCCATGTGGTTAAGAAGCAGGTATGCGGTCTTTCTGCCCAATCACTAACTAAATGCAAAAGTCTCTGTGGCCATATAGCAGTAGTTAGCAAACCACACGCTAAATCCAGAAGGCTGCTTGTTTTTGTAAATAGTTTCATTGGACATACCCATACACATTCATTTTAAAGTACAGTTGACCCTTGAACAACACGGGTTTGAACTGCATGGGTCCACTTATATGAGGATTTTTTTTCAACAGTAAATACTACAGTGCTACCTGGCCCACTGTGAGTTGCAACCTCAGATTCAGAACCACAGATACAGTGGAACCTCAGATACAGAGGAAGTTATACACAGAATTTGAATGCTTGGAGGGTTGGTGCCCACGTTGTTCAAGGGCAAACTGTATTGTCTATGGAACAACTGCAAAGGCAGAGTTAAATAGTTGAACCAGAGCCCCTATGGCCACAAACCCTTAAACATTTAATATTTGGTCATTTATAGAAAATGTTTGTTGACTTCTATGGGATGAAAGGAGCCTGGGGCCCTGCATCATTATCTGGAGGAAAGCTGCTCACTGACAAATGATACCTCTTGTATGAACAAGAAAGAAATTTCTCATGTTACGTCACTGAAAATTTCAGTTACAGCAGCTAGCAACACACTATCAGTTAAACACTATTCTTGGAAGCTGGTCCAAAAACCTACATATTTATTAAAAACTTCTCACATATATCTGGCAAGTGAATGGTAACTGAAGTGGGTGGTTATTGCTCAGGGTCTTGCTCAGAGACATTAGAAGAAAATTTCAAATTTAAAAAGCGAACTGAAGATAAAGCATCAAGAATATTCAAAGAAGCTACTTAGGCAAACAACTTTTAAAAATATATAGTGTCAAGAAAAATATTTGTTGAGGTTTGGAAAAGAAAGAAGGCATTGGTAAAGTACACTTTCAAGGTCATGGAGAGGTAGATGATGGATTAAAGATGTTAGGATTCTTCTTTTAAGAGGAATAAAGGACACTGATCACAAGATCTACCTGCGAAACAAAGTCACAAATTAATACGTACACTTACTACATGGGATGCATAATTTTGCTGTCTTTCCTTTCTCCTCCATTCCATTCTACTTTGTCGTTATTGGATATGTGTTTTACTTTGGTCAGTAGAGTCCACAACCCACTATGTTGCAAACTGCAGTTTTGAAAAAAACTTCTTTACAGAAGCATCATATTCTCTGAGCTGGGACTTATGCAAGAGATTTTCAATCATTTATCTAATTCCAAAAAAAATCCATATAGGAGAAACCCAGCAGAGTTTATGTGTTTGGTTTTGAACGTGGTTTTCTGCTTCCCTCTGGGGTCTTTCATCCACATTTACTTAGGAAGGCCTGACCATCTGCGAGGAGGAAGCTGTAGAATAGTTTCATCTGGGGGCAAAGGGGTGGTTGGAATATAGGGGGTTTCTCCACCGTCTGGCTGGATCTATTGAGGCCGGCCCCGAGGCGCCGAGGAACCTGGGTTCCTGCGATGCACCAGCCAGCACCCCCTACCCCGGCGCGAAACCCCCGCCCCTCCACCCCACCCCGCGGTCCAGACCACCAGACACACATGGGCAAAGCCCCTCGGTCCGGACGACCAAGACCCACACCCCAGCCTGGTCGAAGCCCCCAGGCCCTGACAACCAGGCCCCTGTCGGCCCAAGCCCCCAACGGCCCCAAACAGCCCCAAACAGCCCCCAGCTCCTCCCAGACGAACCCCACCGGTCCCGGATACTAGTCCCCGCCCCCTGGAGACTAGCCCCAGCCCCTTCCCACTCGGCCGGGCCCCGCCCCTGGAGACCAGCCCCTTCCCTCTCGGTCGAGCCCCGCCCCTGGAGACCAGCCCCCTCCCTCTCGGCCGGGCCCCCGCCCCTGGAGACCAGCCCCCGCCCACCGGCCGGCCGCAGAGCGCGGCGAGCTGAGGCGCCTGCTCAGAGCGCACGCGGTGCGGGCGGGGCGTGGGGGGGGGGGGGTCACGGCCGCGCGCTCGAGTATGGCGGCGGCGGCGCTGGGCAGTTCCTGTGGGTCCGCGTCCCCGGCGGTGGCCGAGCTCTGTCAGAACACCCCGGAGACCTTCCTGGAGGCCTCCAAGCTGCTGCTCACCTACGCGGACAACATCCTCAGGTGCGGGGCCGCGGGCGGGACGCGTGCCAGCGGGCGGGGCGCGGCGCACGCGCGGCCGGGTTTGGGGGCGCCCGGCCGGCCCCGGGGGCGCGGAGGCCGGGAGGGCCCCGGGCCTGGCTCCCGCTCAGGGGGGCGGCGGGGGGGAGCTGGGGCCGCCCGCCAGGGGCCTGGAGACCCGCCCGGCCCAGCCCCGCCGGAGCGGAGGGAGTCTCTGCACCTGTGACCGGACACCTGCTGTCGCGGAGCCCAGGGCGAGCCGGGTCCCGGGACGCGCGGGGCGGAGGAGGGGAAGGCGCGCCCCGGGCTCTGGCCTCGGCCTGGCGGTTGAACAGTCTTACGTGTCAGGACAGGAGCGGCGACAGCGTTTCATCCCCACTGCGTGCGTTTTACCCACCAGCAGCCTTCAGTTGCCATTGGGCTTCTCAGAAGTTTGTCACGGACAAGATGTTTTCTTCCCAGCATTTTGTGAATATCCTAATACTAGAGCCTAACACTACCGTGGTGTTCGTGAGGATAACCTTGGCTAAGAGTAGTTTGTTTCCTTTTTCTCTGAGTGCACTTCTAGACCTCTAAGGAACCTTACAGATTTGAGGAATTGGAAAGTAAGTTGTATTAGTCATTTTGAAGCATTACGTCCCTCCACTCTTAGATCAAATGATGGGGTGTCCTGAGGGACGGGATGTGTGGGGGAGGGAAAAGGAGCCCCACGTGCCTCCGCCTTAGTGCTGTTAGCTCGTTTATCAGGGCGCCGTGATCATATAGGCTCTGCCCCCCGCCCCCCAGCCCCTGGTGCGCTTGCTTTTCTAAGGGGTGGATGTATTGGCCTGAAGTCTAAAAGGAGATCCTTCGCAGTGTCAAGGTTATAGATTTCACGTGACCCAGTTTTGGAGACCTTAGTTACAAGTGCAGTGTCTTAACCCATGGCAGTTTTAATATGGCTCATATAGGCAACATTAATGATTTAAAAAGTGAATTGAAAGAAGAACATATTGAGCCCTTGTTGTGTGACAGATGCAGAGAGGGATGCAGCATGTGCACTGTGCACAGCTGCACAGTTAAGACCTATATGGGGGCCGCCTTCCTCCTCTGTGACACCCTCTCAGCTCACCTTCTCAGCCCTGGGAGACCTGACAGCTCTTCAGAGCGCAAGGATGCCAGAGGATTCTGCACAGTGAACTCCGAGGCAGAGTTCTCCAGAGGCCGTCAGCTAGCACCTCCCATCTGGAAAGCCGCCAAACTATTTAAACCCCATTCTTCAGAAAAGGGAGTTGCCCTTGTAATGAGGATTCACTTCTTTCAATCCAGGGAAACCACAAATGCTGAGATCAAGGTGTTTTGAGGAAGGAAGTCTTTTCCATCATTATCGTCATTATGAGTGTTTACCAAACTCATAGAAGAAACCTGGCATGCTGTCAGTGTATGTTATAGTCTCTACTATGGCTTATGTTTCTTATCTTAAAAAGGTTTTTTATCCAAAAAGGGAATTAGGAGTCTGGAACTCATATAAGTGGAGATGGTATGAAAAACTACCCTTTTTTGTTTGTCTTAAGTAATAGTATTAGTTCGTGCCCTCATTCTTACAGTTCAAACTCGTTTGGTCTTCAGAGGGGGGGAAAAACCTCACCTTTTCTTCTGCTTCCAAGTCCAGTGATTTGCTTGCCTCTTAACAGAAAAGCCCCAGGCCTCTTCTTGATCCCTTAGCTATACTGCATTACAGACAGGCTAATCTAACTTATATGAGAATAGAGGAAACCATCGTTTCTTTTGCTGTTTTAGGAACTCCTTTAGCATGAGAGATAAGGGATGTTGTCTTGATATCCTTTGCTCCTACCTCAGGATCTGACATAGTATTTTATAGGGTGAGTGCTGAAATGAGAATTTCATTTGCAGTTTTTTAATTGTTGCTGTTAACAGTGATATTTGTCACTATACACTGGTGAAAATAATACTTTGGGTTAAGTTTGAAATTTCTGCTTCAGATGATGTTTATCCTATTCCCCAACTAAGGCTCGTAAAGCTAATGAAATTATACAATGAAGTATATACTAATTTGCATGCACAGTGTACCATGGGTTTGAACCGTTTTTTCAGTTCACTGACTTATAGATAAAAATCAGCTTTCCTCAGTATCTACCTTTCAAAAATCTGCAGTAGTTTTACTGGCATTCCATGTGGGTTCCCTAGGAAACTTGCTTCATTCATTTTTTAAAAAACAATATTTGACTAAATTCGGGGGGAGGAGGGGAAGATGGCGGAAGAGTAAGACGCGGAGATCACCTTCCTCCCCACAGATACACCAGAAATACATATACACGTGGAACAACACCTACAGAACACCTACTGAACGCTGGCAGAAGACCTCAGACCTCCCAAAAGGCAAGAAAGTCCCCACGTACTTGGGTAGGGCAAAAGAATAAACAGAGACAAAAGAATAGGGACGGGACCTGCACCTCTGGAAGGGAGCTGTGAAGGAGGAAAGGTTGCCACACACTAGGAAGCCCCTTCGCGGGTGGAGACTGCGGGTGGCGGAGGGGGAAGCTTCGGAGCCGCGGAGGACAGCACAGCAACAGGGGTGCGGAGGGCAAAGCGGGGAGATTCCTGCACAGAGGATTGGTGCCGACCGGCACTCACCAGCCCGAGAGGCTTGTCTGCTCACCCGCCGGGGCGGGCGGGGCTGGGAGCTGAGGCTGGGGCTTCGGTCCGAGCGCCGGGAGAGGACTGGGGTTGGCGGCGTGAACACACCCTGCAGGGGGCTAGTGCACCACGGCTAGCCGGGAGGGAGTCTGGGGAAAAGTCTGGACCTGCCGAAGAGGCAAGAGACTTTTTCCCTCTTTGTTTCCTGGTGCGCGAGGAGAGGGGATTAAGAGCGCTGCTTAAAGGAGCTCCAGAGACGGGCGCGAGCCGCGGCTAAAAGCGCGGACCCCAGACACGGGCATGAGAGGCTAAGGCTGCTGCTGCTGCCGCCACCAAGAAGCCTGTGTGCGAGCACAGGTCACTATCCACACGCCCCTTCCGGGGAGCCTGGGCAGCCCGCCGCTGCCAGGGTCCTGGGATCCAGGGACAACTTCCCTGGGAGAACGCACGGTGAGCCTCAGGCTGGTACAACGTCACGCTGGCCTCTGCAGCCGCAGGCTCACCCCGCATCGTGCCCCTACCTCCCCCTGGCCTGAGTGAGCCAGAGCCCCCGAATCAGCGGCTCCTTTAACCCCGTCCTGTCTGCTGAGCGAAGAACAGACGCCCTCAGGCAACCTGCATGCAGAGGCGGGTCCAAATCCAAAGCTGAACCCCGGGAGCTGTGCGAACAAAGAAGAGAAAGGGAAATCTTTCCCAGCAGCCTCAGAAGCAGCGGATTAAAGCTCCACAGTCAGCTTGTTGTACCTGCACCTGCGGAATACATGTATACACAACGAATCATCCCAAATTGAGGAGGTGGACGTTGAGAGCAAGATTTATGATTTTCCCCCTTTTTCCTCTTTTTGTGAGTGTGTATGTGTATGCTTCTGTGCAAGATTTTGTCTGTATAGATTTGCTTCCACCATTTGTCCTAGGATTCTATCTGTGTGGGTTTTTTTTGTTTTTCTTCTTAAAAAATTTTTTTTCTTAATAAATACTTTCTATTTTATTAACTTCATTTTATTTTATCTTTTATTTTATTTTATCTTCTTTCTTTCTTTCCTTCCTTCCT